CTATCTATCTATCTATCTATCTATCTATCTATCTATCTATCTATCTATCTATCTATCTATCTATCTATCATCTTTAGCTATCATCTCCTGGTATCTATCTATCACTCTATCACTCTATCACTCTATCACTCTATCACTCTATCACTCTATCACTCTATCACTCTATCTATCTATCTATCTATCTATCTATCTATCTATCTCTACCTACCTACCTACCCACCCACCCACCCACCCACCCAAAAGAGTGAGGCATGGGGGGCAAAACCCAAGGTACCTCAAATGGGCTATCGTACAGAAGAAATAAATTAACACGAGGATCCCTGGGAGGCACAAGCAGCTTTGCAAAGAATTTTGGAAAGAAAGACACATGGCCCCAGCAGAGGGGGGCTTGAAACACTGAGAAACCAAGACATGATTCTAAAACTCAGAAAGCCTTTTGCAGAGAACTGAGGACTGGCGGACAAAAATAACGCAGGAAGCAAAACAAACCAGAGCATCAGGATGCAGAAATATAAAAAAACAAAACTACAAAAAACAAAAAAACAAAACCCAAACCTCAAGCTGGCTTAATTGAGGTATCTCAGAAAACAGACATCCTGAGAGGAACTCAGATTCTTCCAAGCATTTATTTATGGCTTGGGAATATTTGGGGGAGTCGGGCCGGCCCAAACCGGAATGATTACGCAACTTGGGAGGCAATAAATAGTCAGACTCTCCAAAGGAAAGAGCGTCCCTCTGGATTCTTTGTCCCAGGCAGACAGGCCAGAAATGGCCCCTCTGAAAGTTCCTGGTGTGCCCCACTGGTGGGTTGTGGGGGGGCTGGCTACCCCAGATCTGGGGATGCAGCTTTTAAATCAGGGGTGTCCAACCTTGGCCGCTTTAAGACCTGTGGACTTCAACTCCCAGAATTCCCCAGCCAGCCATGCTGGCTGGGGTATTCTGGGAGTTGAAGTCCACAGGTCTTAAAGCGGCCATGGTTGGACACCCCCACCCTAGATATTGGTTCTGATTGTGTCAAGAGATTTTTTTTTTAGCAAAGAGATCCGTCTGAGAAGGCAGCCAGTGTATTTTAAGCAGCGTAGGAGGTGAGCTGGGTTAAGTCTACGGCGGGAAAAAGCCCAAAAGGGATTTAATGGCAACTTTCCCAACATTTATGGAAAGGCAGAACTTCCTGGAGCTTCAGCTCTTTTTTTTTTTTTTAATAAAAAGAGTATGAATCAGAAAAGGTGCGACTGGGCTTCTCCTGATTTCATTTATTTACTTATTAAATTTATTTCTGCCCATCTTGTATCGAAACGATTTTTAAACATCTCGGGGTCCGTGTGCGTGTGTCATGGTTTGGCTAAAAGCAGCATTCGGGAACGCTTTGAGGAGGGCACGTTCATATCCAAACGTGTGAGAAACAGGAGAGTCCAAAGCAAAACACGCTTGCCTGTTTGCACACGCATGGGATAAATGATAAGACGTGGATTAAGAGTTCAAGGCATTAAGAGTGGAGAATTAAACTTCCCAGTTAATTAGAAGCCGCAGAGGACAACAGAAGTCAGCTCAAGAAAAAGGGTGGGTGGGGGGGAGAGGTGGAGCTCCAGAATCAGAACGTAAGGGGAGTGGGCTGCAGTGATTGACACCTCTGCAGTGATTGACACCTCTGGTTCAGAGTGGCCAACTCCAGCCGTGGAGCCCAGGCAGAAAAACCCCTTGGTAGAATCTGAAAATTCAGGACCACCCACAGCAAAACGCAGCAAGCTTTAAGTTTGAGCGACGGAATTTAATTTTTCCCCCCTTAGCATTTGCAAAATCATCACCGGCAACCTAATACAAAAATTGCAGGTTTACAAAGTGGAAGAACTGATTCCGAATCAGCATCGAACACATGAATGGAGAGAACCCAGCTGTCCAAATGCTCCATTTTAATTTATTTCAGCAATATAACTGGAGGCAGGGCTGGGCACGCATAATTTTCTTGTGCTGCTGTTTTGTTTGTTTTTTAAAAGGGATTTTTTTTTTGCAGACTCCCCCACCACACCTTGACATCTCAGAATTAACAGAAGATCTGCTTTCTGCCGATCTTGGCATCACCTGGTGGGCACCCCAGATTCTTGTCCAGCCTCCTCCAGGAAATGCCGGAGACGGCGCTGTGCCCTTTTACGTGCCAAGGACACGGCTCTGCCCATCTCTAAGCTGAGGAAGAGGAAACCAGGGCGGAGGGTGGGATTCTCACAGGACCCTCTCAACTTCCTTAATCTCTCCCAAGGACACACAGGATAGGAAACATATGCAGGGGCAACAGGGGCAGCAGCAGAAGAGACCCTTCCTGCTCGCTTCTTTCGGGTGAAAAATAATGCAGAAAGAGGGAGGGGAAAAAAAGGAGTGGAACTTATTCCTGCAGTAGGAGACGCACCCCAAGTCCCCACTTGTTCCCAGCCAGGTATACGAGGTATATTTCTACTCTAGGGACTACTTTGGCCGGGTTGACCGGGAGTTATAAGCAGCAAATAATCACAAGCGGCGTACAGACAAATACAAAATATAACTGAACAGCAAGCAAAGTGCAGCTTTAGCAAAGCAGACGCCACGGGGTCCAAGGTGGCTCTTTCCGGATTGCCTAAAAAACCAGGTTGCAATTCAAAGAGAGGCCCGCCAGCAGAAGCGCCGTTTGGCACCCCCAAATCGGACCGCAGCTCAGCCCACCTTTGGGGGTTCTCTGCGGGGTCTCTGGCAGCAAATCCGCACCGCAGCCCTCTTCGTCGCCTCTGTCTTCGCAGTCTGGATGGCCATCGCACTTGAAAGACAGGGGGTAGCACTCGGCCCCTGGGTAGCATCGGAACTCGTCGCTTTCGCAGTCATCCTCCTCGAGCGGGCCCAGCGAGGATGCGCAAAGAGACTCGGCCTCATCCGAACCGTCTGGGCAATCCGGGCGCTTGTCGCAAAACCGTTCAAAGGGCAGGCAGGGCCCGCTGCTGTGGCCGCACCGGCAGGTGTGATTCCTGCAGATGCTTCCCAGCGGCTGACAACCGTCTGTGTCGTCTTGGCAGCCGATCTGCCTCTCCTGGCCCAGGCACAGCGGCACACGGCCCCCCTCGTGGCACTGGAAGCTCTCAAGAGGGCAGGAGAAGGAGGACCCTGCAGGCAGAAAGGAAGAGAGAGAGAGAGAGAGAGAGAATGGTGAGTGGAGGGGGTCAATGAGATGTTGAAAGAGAGAGAGAGGCATCGAAAGAATGAAAGTGCAAAAAAAAAAAAAAAAGGAACGGAGAGATACAGTGAATTCAATTATACTGTCAGCTTTTTAAAAATCCCCAAACACACCATCGTTTCCTTAAGAGAAGCACCTCCTGAGACTCTGACCTTGGATCCTTACTGGGAAGTAATCATTAACTAACCACTATTTATTTTCAGGGGTGAAATAAAACAATTCTGATTTGAGGACCAATCCAAATTGCAGTCAGAGTGTGTTTGTGTAGCTCTACCAGAGGTCATACGGCTGTATTGGTTTAAAGGATTTATATGGTTGCTTTCTCCCATGGTGATCTTCGGTAAGTCACAAGCACAGCTAAAAACAGAACAAGTCTTCCATTATTCTAATATGGATTTTCCCCAAAAGTAAGTCCTAAGCTGGATCCTGGATCCCCAGAAAGATCAGCGGCACACCGGATTTAAACACGACGGAGAAAAATCCGTAAAACGGAACTTCTGAAATTATTTTCATCCTATTTAGGACTCACATTCGCCTTTTCCTTCCAGGTGGGGTTTGCTTTTCTCCACTGAAGCAGGGTGCCAGAGTCTTTTAATTTTCAAAAAATTATGATAGTTTTGCAAAGCCGAATCAAGCACACAGTGACACCCGAAGGGAAAAAACCCCAAGACAGAGAAAAGGGGGTGTGCTTATAATTGAGCACAAGGTACCACAGAGTCATAAGAAGCAATGGGTTCCCAAATTGATTACAGTATATAAATGGAAAAAAAAGCTTTTATTTTAATCTCTGGGCTGCTAAATATCAACTCACGATTTCAGAACAAGGAGAGCTAGCTGACTCACTTACTCTTAAAACCTTTAGCAACAAAGCAGAGCAGAAACTATGCCAAAGGTTTCACTTGCTTGAAGGACAGGATGGGAATGGATGTTTTTGAAGTTTGGTGTTGCAGAACACTCCTGAGAATGCAGCGCAGAGTTAAGAAAGCAACCTCAATCAAACAAATCAGTCCAGAGTTCTCACCTGAGACTCTGGAAGGATGTTGTGAACACCCCTGAGAAGTCCCTAATGGTGGGAAAGGAGGAAGGAAAGATAAGAAGAGGACGACCAGCAGCCAAGGTGAAGGGACTCAGCTACGTGGGTGATGGGGGCATCTTTGGAAGACCTGCAGGACCAGAAGCTTAGGGGGAGATCTTCCTGGAGAAAAGCTATCTATGTGGTCGCGAAGAAATGACACTGGCTTGACAGCACACCGTCCATCCATCCATCTACCTCTAGCTGGGCAAGTCATACAATTCCTAGAGATGCTGGGAAAGGTGGAAGGGAAGGGGAGAGGAGGAGGAGGAGGACTAGCACTGATCAAGAGAGACCCAGTTGCAGCTCTGATAGGGGCAATCTTGGAAGATCTGAACGTTAGAGGGAGATCTTCCTGGAGAAAAGATATCTATGTGGTTGCAAAGAATTGACACGGACTTGACGGCACACCATCCATCCATCCGTCTGTCTGTCCGTCCATCTATATCCATCCATCCATCTCCATCCATCCGTCCATCCATCTCCATCCATCTATCCGTCCGTCTATATCCATCCATCCATCTATCCGTCCGTCTATATCCATCCATCCGTCTGTCCATCCATCCATTTCCATCCATCCGTCCATCTATATCCATCCATCTCCATCTGTCCATCCATCACCATCCATCCATCCGCCCATCCATATCCATCCATCCATCCACATCCATCCATCCATCCCTATCTGGGCAACTCATACAATTCCTAGAGAAACCCATCATGCTGGGGAAGAGGAGGATGACCAGAGGAAGGTGGATGGACTCAGTTAGAGGGGCAATGGGGGCATCATAGAGAAAACCTCTTTCATTGATCCTAACTTGAGGACCCTCAATCAATTAATCAATCAATCAATCAATCAATCAATCAATGCTTGCTAAAGTGTCCCTGCTCCATTTTAATCTCTAACTAGGTTCAGGTGCTAATTAAAGAGCCGATTATCGGAGGGGGGGGGAGGGTTCATTGCCCCCCCCAGACCTTTGGCGCAGGGAGAGGCCCACCTGTGCTGGGTCTAAGCATCAGCCCCTTCCTCAAAAGAACCGGGGTGGGGAGGGGCAGCCCCAGCCCCCTTCGGCAGAGCCAAGCCAAGGCCCAAAGGAGACCCCCCCCATGGAGAGACCCAGAGCCCACCCTCAGCTGTAGAAGGAAAGGCAAAGGGTCCAAGGAGGGAGGGGGAATCATTGTAACCCCCACCCCCAATGGAGAAGGCTGGACTACTGCTCCCATCAGCCCCGCCCAGGCTTCTGGGTCTGGGAGTCCAACCGTCTGCAGCAGGGCACTGAAACAGACCAAGGAACAGAGCGTGGGGGGGGGGCAAAGCATGAGGAGAGGGCATAACAAGACGGGCAAATGTGGCACAAATGCAGCTGCAAAGAGAAACCTGGGTTGTGTGTGTGTGTTTGGGGGTAATCCTACCGCCCCCCCCCCATTGAGTTTGACTCCGAAAGATTTCGGGGGTCTTAACTCGAGGAAAGGCTCGCCTTACCCCTTGGGCAGGTAGGCCCGGTCGCCGTGGCAACCGGGCAAAGGCCTCACCTCTGACCTTGGAAGAGGGCGGGGGGGCGAGCGAGGGGGACATCGGCGCACGTGCTGCTCGGCGGGGGGCATGGCAAGCCAGCCAGCCAGCCAGCCCGGAGGTGTGGCGGGGCGTGAGGGCAGGAGAGCCAATGGCCGTCTGCGGGGCGGGGCTTGGGGATGGCGCTCGACCAATCGGCGGCCGCGGGGCGTGCTTGGGGGGGGACATGAATGAGCCGCCGTGCGGGGACGGTCCTCTCCTGCTCCCTCCCGCCCTCCGCTCCTCCCTCCCGGCCTCCGCCGCGGCCCGCTCACCGGCCTCCCAACGCAGCAGCCAGAGGAGGAG